AAAAGGAAGTTGAGGACCTGCTCCAAGAAGTGAGCACAGAGGTGCTCTTCTAGCCCCTTGTCTGTTCTTACCTCATGGTCACAGCCAATTCTGCCTGATGCTGAAGCCATCCATTCAACAGTTACTGATTATGTATTAGCCCCTCTTAGGCTATAAACTTTGGGGGACAGGGAGACACACACTGTTCATCCTAGGATACTATCCTCCTTTCATTTAGCTCACAGAGCTTTATATGCTGAAGATGCTTTACATGAAAAATAATTAATGATTAATAGTAAAAAATAATTAATAGAAAAATAACCACATAAAAATACTGTTACTAGATTCAAGTCTCATAAAAAATACACACACACACACACACACACATCTGTATGAGTGTACTTTTTAAATGTGCTTGATTTTCAAAATGAAAATGTTAAATCATGTTAAAACTTCAAGAATCCCTGCAAAAACTAAAAAAGAAATGAAATGCCAAAAATATATACTTAAAAGCTCCAACTAATCCAGCAAGTAGAACAAATTCACTATGTATTTAATTGAATATGTGGGCCAGGAAAGTGTTGCCATAGCTTTCTTTAACCATGAAGAATATAAATAAATATGCTTTAAAATGGTTCCTGTTCTTTACCCCTTCCACCTCCAATGAGGTAAAGAATGTAAAACTGCAAAGAAAAAATATATATAGCTTAATGTGCTATTTTCATACATGTAGCTATGATATAGAAAACACTCATAAACATGCCGGCACATACACAGCAGAATTTATAATATAGCTGTGAGAAACCTCATCACGAGAAGAGAGTTCTACCAGTGAGGTATTTCCTAGAAGAAAGCAATGGCTCCTGAAATCGTGCCCTGATGCCTTCCTTCAAAGACTTTAGGGATGTTTAAATTGTGTGTGTATATGCATGTGTGTGTGCACGTGCATGTGTACATATGTATGTGTGTGATTACAAATGCGAGTGAGTGTGTATGTGTTCACCAAGAAATAAAAAAAGAGAAAGATTTGTGAAAAAAAAACTTGTTTCTAGAGAGTGAGGTCAACATGAATTCCTTCTTGTTCACTTTATGAAGGTGATTGGTTTTCATTTTCAAAATATGTGACTTGTGAGGCATCTGTTTTGGGGGCAGCCTTCTCTACAGCTGCAGCAGATATGCCTGTCATTAGCCCAGTTGCTCAGTCAGTGTCTCCATTTATAGTTGGGGTTTTTAAAGCGTTCCAAATAGGAACTCTGGGTTTCTGCTGATCTTGAGTCATCAAAGAAAA